GCTGGGTTAAGCTGAACCTTGAAGAAGGGATTAGGGATTTTATGCCCGTTTTATGATTAACCAAAAAGCACAGGAGCCATATGTGTACTGCTCAGAAATAAGTTACATCAACTTCAATGTATGTATTGGAGGTTTTAAGTGTCTATAAGGCTGCTAGATATGCATTAGTCTTTTGCCATAGGTTTATGTCCTCTGTGTCATACTATAGGCTTGCTCTGTATAAAGGGTTGTGCTATATATGTTGTAGAACAAGTCAATCCATCCACATTTATGAATTTTGTAAGTACTCACATTTCAGCTTTCCCAGGTTACCTTTAATGCCAGTTTTCCTAAGGGCAGGGGTCTGCTTTTAGCTCCCAGATCCCAGGACCCCTTCTCATTTGCAATGTCAGCCGAGAGTCGTAATTCTGATTCAAAAGAATGAAATATACTTTGTCCTGTCTGCATCTCTCTCCTCCAAATCCTCCCTTATTCCCACCTGTATTCTAAAAGTTTATCATATTTTAAAAGAAGTTATAGGCGGCTGGAAGTAACAATGCTCAGATAGCCTTGCCTCTTCATAGTTCTGAAATGAGTCAAAGAACTCCCCCTGTTTTTCTTCTCTGCCTTCAGAATGTTTCTGCTGTCACGCCTCTTAATGGGAAGCCACGCTGGGACTTGTGCAAGATTTCACCTTGCTAGGCTTTGTTTTCTTTCTTAGATTCTGAAAAGTGTATGATTTTTGACATATAAGGGCTCTCTATTATGCTTAAATAAAAGCCAGTTATTTGTTGTCATGCAAACTGCCACTGATGACTCTTAGATGTTAGATTGTCAGCTTTGGCAGTGATATGTTGGATTTACAAGGGCACTTCATTCATCCACAAATCCCATACCTTTGACAGAGTAGATGTCGCATAATGGCTTCCCCCAGCCAACTCTCTGATGTTATTCGGCAAATGTCTTGCATATAGAATGACTAGAACATACAAAATAGGTTGTTGCCAAGTAACAGAGAACACTTACATTTTTTATGCTACATTCTACATGGAGATTCCACCCACCCCCCGGAACTGCTCTTTTCTACAGTTGTTATTAAGCAGGAATTATCTATCTAAGAATTTTCTGTTGAAATATGTTTCAGTTGCAATTGTCTATTACCTTTGAGTAGGCTACCCAGTGTGATAGATTGCTGGCATTAACCTTATTTGAACTTAAATCTGTTCATTAAAACACTTTTTTGGTCTTAAATGAGATGACTAAATAGAATTGACAACCCCCACTAGTACCTGTGAGTGGGATGCAAAAATGAACAAATTATTCCCTGCCAGATCAGCAGAATTATTTCCACCTTGTCTGGACCTCTTGCTTGGCATTAGTTACCTACCAATTAATCACTTTGCTTTTGCTGGTATGAAGCATGGGGTGGAGAAATGTAGGATGCAAAAAGAAGTGTTCGGGGAAAAAGCTCCTGGCAGTTTATTATAACATAATAAGCACAAGGATGCTGTTGGTTAATATCATGGCTAGACTGTCACAAAGAATAACAGACCTTCTCCCCAGCACATGCATACGCGCGCACACACACACACGCACACCAACCAAAACAACCAAAAATAAATGAGATTTTTTCAGAAGCAGAGCAGGCTGTGTTACACATAAGGGTGAAGGAATCTCCTTTAGGCTGCACCATGAGTGCAGATGGGGGCAAGAATTAATGTCTGAATGTCCCGAAGGCTTTTAAAAGTGTTGACTTTGGTAACAGAGAAGTACATTTAAACTCTGCTTCTGGCAGTAAAATGTCTTAGCTTAGCACTGAATTTACAGTGCTAAAATTCACAAAAGTGAAACATTAGTAATAATATCAAGGGAAGGAGCAGAATAGGGCAGTGATAGTCAACCAGAAAGTAAAGTATAAGGTTGGGTAACAAGCTGATTCTGTTGGAGGTAATTGATTTTGACTACCGATAGTTGGAAGACTTTATTTAACTGATATGAGTGCTTATTTATAGAATACTATATTTTTCTTAAAAGTCAAAATAAAGTTTTTTTAAAAAGAACTTTTTGGAATATTTATTTTAAAAAGTTATTAAAAACCTTATTTTGCAACTTTTTAAAATAAATATTCCAAAAAGTTCTTTAAAAACAAATCTTATTTTGAACCCACCAACAATTGTAATATATATTTTTATCCTGTTTTGTTTTTATTTGTTATTATTTTAATGCCCGTGACCATAATACAAATTCTTATTATTATTTTGACTTTAAGGAAAGCCCATAATCTTCTGCATGTATGCAAAAGCAAAGTATGACATCATATTTAGTTCTGGATAGGAGTTATGAACTCTCTCCCCCACCCTAAATTAGTAAAGACAATATAATTTTCATAGCTGTGGAATGTTTAGTCTAAGAATCAAAAATTCTTCCCTTCTATAATACTATTATATCATGTACACTTTTCAGCCTGAAGTTCCAATGCCATTAGCTGTTACAGCTTGTTGATAAAGGGAAGAAAGTTCATTTTGAGAAGGACCTAAATTCCTATCCAGAATGAAACATGATGGTATACCTTGAGATTTCCCTCAACATCCCCAAATGCCTTCTTCCCCTCTACTAGCACTTATACTTCTAATTCAGCTGTCCATATACTCCCTAGGTTCAGCTACATAATATATTATAAGCACAGTAAATCCCAAAGGTAATGTTTCTCATTCTGCACTTCAACCTCACAATGATACATCTGGAGGGCAATAGGCTGGAGAAGTTATTAAAAAAAAAATAGAATTGGGTCTGAGCCATGGAAAATTGTGTTGTGATGGACATCATCATAAGAACATTGATCTGGGCTGCTGCTGGTATGAAGTAGTGAAAGTTCATGCCAACGATCCATAAAGAAGAAATTGAAAAGAAACTTTGTCACCACGTGTGAAATCTATGGTATAAGTGTAGAAGAAGGCGGCCAAAAATGATCAAAGAACTAGAGTAACTCCCCAAAGAGGAAAATTAGTAATATGAATGATACTACATGCATTGGTTTAGAAAAACAGACAATAAGAGATGATATGGAGCAAGAAGATATAAGTTTTTGTTTTTGTTTTCCTTTCATAGTACTAATACTTTGAAGTTGTTGAAATATATGGGACATGCAGAAAGTAGTACTTCATACAATACAGAGTTAAATTAGGGCATTATCTACTGTGAGCTGTATGTTGTTTATGTCCTTTGGTTGGCATCAAAGGAGGAGTTTAGATAATTTCATGGAGGCCAAGGTGATAAACTACTACTAATCGTAAGGACATTGTTAGTGCTCCTATCCTGCTTCTGGCTTTCAGTAGGTGTCTAATTGGTATATGCATTTTGTTCTTGTTGATTTAAAAATAATAATAAATCTTTCCTATATAATGTGTTTTGTGTGTCATTTTACTCAGGACTGTGTCCTGTTATCAGCTCAGTGCCCTCGACCACAAATCAGAATATTTGTCCTCTCAAAGATTCCTGGGCTTCTTCCAGGCTACTTTTCCAAAATGAAATCTGCCTAGCAACTTCTGATACAGGCAGGAAGAGTCTGTCTCCTCATTTGGGGATTTTTTTTTTTTCTTTATGCAGTCTGCTGGGTTATTTTTCCAAGAACGGTGCCCAGAAAAATCTGTGACTATAATTCCCCTCCTTTAAAAGATGTTTTGTGTATATAACACTTCCTGCCATTGTTACAAAACACAGGATTACCAATATTATGAAAGGACCCAGCAAGTGCTACTGAATGCCTGAACTTCTAGTTCAAATGTGTTTTAAAAGGATTGAGCACAGGTGTTCAGAAACCTCTAAGGAGAGGTTTATCTTAATCTGGTGCTGCGTAGGCTGCAACCCATACAGACTCCAAGTGGCTTCTGTGAGCCAAATCATCTTTCTATGTAGCTATTTCCATTTCTTTTTAAACATAGAAGTGTCTATCCTGATGTTGCAGGGTCATTCATGGCATTCAAAGCCTTGGATGTATCCCATGGAGACTCTACTAGGTAGTAGCCATTTTTCATGTGACAGAAGGGAGAAATAATTAAGTTTATGGGGAGTAATCATATTAAAGGTAAAGTAACCCTTGAGTCAAACTCAATTTTTGATGACTGCTTCCATGCTGTTTTACTCATAATAATATAAAGGTAGTTTGCCCTTGCCTTCAGCTCTGGTATACGTTGTACATTAGATAAGTGGTTTGCCACTGCCTTCTTCTGGGATGATGATGATGATTTTATAAATTTCCAATCTACCTTTCAGCCCAGAAGTTTCTTGTTGAGAATTAACCAGGTCTGACCTTGTTTAGTGTTCAGATCAGCCATCTTCAGCTAAGGGTTGCCACTAAGCTGGACAGTAATGTTATTTATATTTAATTCATTTTATGTCCTCCTGAAAGCCAACTGAAGCCAATGTAATTTCAGTTTGACTCCACCCACTTCTTTCTGCTGGTTTTGCAGTGTGACCCACAGCATGCCCTACGAGAGTTGAGGGCAGCCCTGAGCTCTCAAAACTTGTTCACTTGCTTTAAAAGAAAAGTAATGCTTGAAAGAATGCCCAGGAATATATTTCCTTAGTATTTGTCACTTCCACAAAATGAGTTCTACTCTAAAAGCATCCACCCCTCTTTGCTTTTCTCCTGAGAATTGTAATATAAGGAAGATGCACAGACACTACTTTACCCTACTCAAAAGAATAAACATAAAGACATGATTTTGTGTAACTCTTTAAAAGAAATCTGCAAATATGTACTCTGAATTGCTGAGATTTATTTATGGCTACCCGTTTATCCAAGGAAAGTCTGGGAAGCAGATAAAGTCAAAACAAAACATTTCATTAAACCCTTAGAAACCAAACTGAGGCTCAGTAAAATCACAAAACCAATGAAGGTTGTGTTCTGTCTTGATGTTTATGGGATTGTGTGTGTGTATGTGAATGTGTCTATGTGTCTATGCATGAGAGAGAGAGAGAGAGAGGTTCTTCATTTTAATGCTTTCTTGCTTTCCTTACAGAATCTGATATTGCAGATTTTGATGGGAGGAGCTCCCTCCTCTACAGATTCAATCAAAAACTGATGAGTACCTTCAAAGATGTTGTTTCCTTGAAGTTCAAGAGCATGCAGGGAGATGGGGTCCTGTTTCATGGCGAAGGGCAGCATGGAGATTACATTACCCTGGAGCTGCAAAATGGGAAGCTTTCCTTGCACATCAACCTGGGTAGGTTCAAACATTTCAACTTATCTTGTATAAAGTTCTTCCTGCTCTTAGTTCTTTTATGACCTTTCCCCACTACTGAATTGAAGTGCTGTCTGCCCATCTGTGAATCAGCAGAAATACAGGCATTATATTTAGCTTTTCCCTTTAGGTGGTAGAAGAACGAGGAAAATATGATTTTAAGATCAGAAAAGTTAAGGCTATTTAAGAGATTGGGGCTGTACCATGGGAATATGGCAGGAAAAGATGTTACAGAACCTGTTTTGTCCTGAGATTAGATATTAGTGGGGAGAGGCTATTAGTCTTCAGTTAACAAAGTCAGGTAGTCAACTGAAATTCTGGGGGAAAAATAGCAATATGCTGCTATGATGATAGATAGATAGATAGATAGATAGATAGATAGATAGATAGATAGATAGATAGATAGATACTGTGTGCATGTGTTAAGTTCAGTTTGACCCAGAAATCTGAAAGATAATGGCTTCAACCCAGTACATGTGTAGAGTATAAATCTATGTACAATCAAAAGATATATGTACTACAGATGTAAAATACTTACCCCTCAATTTCTAGAGCAGACTTTGGATTTCCACCCGAATGAAAATCTAAGCAAAATAAATACCAGCTGCAAATGAAACATTGCTGGTATTCAATATCTCCCTCTCCCCAAATTCCACAGCTGGGTTTATGGGCTATACCTTTGTTTAATGCACAATGTGATTAAGAAATCTATCACAACTTTGTTTTGAAAATAATGACAATAATAATAATAATAATAATAATAATAATAATAACCCTGACATTCTAACCACAACCCTGAGCTGCTTAAGGAAATCCCTTCTGCCTCCTCCCCTTCCTCCTCCCTTCTTAAAATGACTCTGAATTTCATAGTCATTCCAGGAAGCGCTAGCAAGAGGAAAAGAAATAAGGCTTCCTCCGACAATTTGGCGATCCTGTTAGTGTATCAGGCATTTTAGAGTTTGGGCTGGGGCTGGGGGTTGAAGCAAAAGAGAACCCTTAGCTAAATGTGTTAAACAGAAATAAGTAAAACCTGCCTTACAGATGACTTGATTTTTAACTTGAAAAGGTGCTAGATCCTAAAGCTGCCCTGTCAGTATTGGCAATGGAATAATTGAATTTCTAATGATCTGCACATCCTTAGTTAGTCATGATGTGGAATGTACCAATTGATTAGACCTCTGGATCTGCATAGGTTAATCTGAAAACAAAATCTTGGTTCTACCGGTACATATTGTACTACTTCTACCTTTAAATGTAATATCTTTGCTAGGGCCTTCCTCCCTGCTCCCCCCCCCCCCCCCCCCCC